AAAAAAAACCCCCCCCTAAAAAAAAAAAAAAAAAAAAAAAAAGGAAAGAAAATTTATTCTAAGTGTGAAAGATCTGCTGTAAGGCCATCTCAGTTTAGCAGATTAGGTTGTACTGAGGTCATAGTATTTGTTATGGTAAAGTGGCTATAATTTGAATACAATTTAAAATGAAACCATACTAACAAACACTTATTTTTGTGTGTGCTTTGAAACAAAGGTCTATCCAAGTGTGACCATAGGTGTTTTCATTGAGCAACCAACGCCTTTTCTACCTCGATTTCTGGACACACTTTTGACACTGGATTACCCAAAAGAAGCTCTTAAACTCTTTATTCATAACAAAGTAAGTGGTTGAGAAGTAAATATTTTACATGAAAACTATTGTTGATCTTTTGGAAGCTATTTGTTACTTTGTCTAGAAAAATTCATTGGATCAAATTCAGTGGAGGATTTTTAGTGGAACAGCTGACCTGACATTTTAGGATTTAAGAATTGGAGAGTCTGGCAAGTAGCATCAGAATATTGAGATGAGCCATGTAAAACTTCCAATATTTGTAGATTAAAAAAAGACTGAGGGGGCCAGTAGGTGACGTGGAGGTTATGGCAGCTGGATCCCCACATGGCTGATTGTGTAATTTGAGTCCTGGGCCCTGTGGCTTGAAAAACACCTGGTGCATGTGTGTGCATGTCCAAAGCCCCAGGGGAGAAGAGAGGAGAATGGATTATGGCATGGCCATCCCCCTGGGCAATGATTTCTCACTTCCTCTCTTGCTGTCTCTGTCTCTCTCTGTCTTTCTCTAGCAAGTGCACACACCTTGTAGCAAACTAAAAAATAAGAAGGGGGAAGAAAAAAATGGCTGAAGAGTCACCATTTTCATGTGGCTCAAGGGCCTTCGACATACAGAATGTCCAAGGGCCTTATCTTCTTCTGTTTTTGGATCAGTTCCAGTACTTTCTGCTATAGAACTGGTCATTCAATTGTTGGCAGCTTTGTGTAATACCATAATATTACAACTTTAAACAGCCTCTGGATATTGTTTTGATTAATCACACAATAGTATGCTCTTCCCCACAGGATTGTGGTACTGTCATTTCCTTTAAAAATATTTGAGCCTCCCACACACCTCCCACATGTAACCTAAAATTAAACTTCTGCTCAATATTTTACCATTTCTTTTTTCTTTCCTATTAAAAATTGGTAGTTAGCATCATCTAAAAAACTCAATACTGTTGTCTTATGATATGGTTTCAGGATCCCTGCAGATAAACTCTACAGACGCTTACTGTGAGGTATACAAAATGGCACAGTATTTCCGTGTAATCTACACATATGCTCTTATATAACTTGTCATGTCTTGATTACTGAAAATACCTAATTCAGTGTAAATGCTATATAAATAGTTATACCGTATTTTTAAAATTTTACATTTTTATTTATTTTGAATTGGTTTCTTTTTTTAATAATATTTTCAATCTTCAGTTGGTTAGCTCTGTGGATTTGGGAACTGTAGCTGTGAAATATGCCATTTTCTCTCTTGGGCTTTTTTTTTTTTTTGGAGAGTTTTTTTGCTATAGAGCGCATGTGCTCACCAGAAAGACAGAGAGAGACAGAGAGACAGAAAGTGAAAAATCACCCTCCAGGCAGAATGGCCACGCTGCAATCCCTTCTCCTCCATTCTCCTCTCGGGATCTTGGGCATGCACACCAGTACGTGAGTTTTAAGTCACCAGGTCTGGGACTCGAACCATGGTTGACTACGTGAGAGTCCAGTGATATAGCCATTACGCCAACTACTGGTCTCACTCTCTTGGGTTTTTATACCTTCTGTTTATATTGTTCTTTTTTCCCCATGGTACGTCTAAGCTAATCATTCACCTTTCTTTTTTTAAGAGAGAGATTTTTGCTTTAGGGTGCATGTACTTAATAGAAAGACAGAGATAGACAGACAGAAAGTGAGAAATCACCTCCCAGAGGGGATGGCCACTATGCACTCTTTCTCTCCCATTCTCCTCTTGGGATCTTGGGCACACGTACATGCACATCCGACATGAATTTGAAGCCTTTGGGTCCAGGACTCAAACCATGGTTGACTATATGGGAGGCCAGCAATATAGCCATTACTCCATCTGCTGGTCCCAATCATTCACCGTTTTTCAGAGAATATTTTACATTTGCAGGAAACCAGTTTAAGTACGCTTTAAAGGGTAAAGAACTGAGCATTTGCTTTGTGAAATGTGTCATAATATATGCACTTAAAGTGTTTTATTATTTTATATTGGCCCTTTTATTTATATATTCCTGTTTTCATATAACCTTAAATGGCTTGAAAGAGTTTTTCTCTTCTTAAAATTATCTCTATGTGGGGCAGACAGGCGACAAGGTGGTTAGGGTGACCGGATCCCACTTGGCTGACTGTGTGGTTCAAGTCTCAGACTTGGAGGCTTAAAAACATTCTGGGCATGCATACATGTCCCAAAAGGAGAATGGAGGAGAAGGGATTGTGTCCTGGCCATCCCCCTGAAGGGCGATTTCTCACTTATCTCTCTCTCCCATGAGCTCATGCAACCAATAGCAAAAGTTAAATTTTTTTTATTTTATAAAATGTACTTGTTTTTATTTAAATCTCAGATTGTCTATTAGGTTTAATAAACAATTTTTCTGGATATATTACAACACATGTCTAAGATCCTCAGGCTAGAAGCCATTATTTTTTCTTTGAGTTAGAAACATTTTATAGCACCTAGGATTTAAATACTTATACAGTGAGCAGTAAGATTTAAATATTTATGAAAAGACCTGTCTAGGAAGATATATTAAAATGTTTTTGTAGTATGTTCTTTTTAAGGAATATTCTATGTATATATTTTGGATTTTTCATGTGACATGTGATATTAAACTATAGCCTATTTAATGTGGTTATTATTTTGTTTGTAATTGGATTAATAGGTGAATTGTGGAATGCACTACTTTGCATGTGAAGCACTCTACATATAAATACTTCAGTCATCTTATGGTTGTATTTCTTCTTTAATTTTTGATTTCTAAAATATGTTACAGGAAGTTTATCATGAAAAGGACATCAAGGTATTTTTTGATAAAGCCAAACATGAAATCAGTACTATAAAAATAGTAGGACCAGAAGAAAATCTAAGACAAGCTGAAGCCAGAAACATGGGAATGTATGTGATAATACATTTAAATTTAATTAATTATATTACTCTACTAAAGGAACTTTAAGAAGAAAACATTTTCAAAATTAGTATGCTTACTTGCATGTCTTAATTGTGGTGTGTGTGTGTGTGTGTGTGTGTGCGTGT